TTACTGACCTTTTTTTTTTCTCATCTTCTCAGAATGCATCTGACACCACAGAAAATCCCTCAGCATCCAGGAGATCCTTCCAATGAGCGTCCTGTCAGAAGCAGATTTCACGTGAACATCAGATGGACCTACTGAAGGGTCATTACTGTCAGGAACAAGACCAGAGTTATGCGATAGCGCCATCTAGTGCTTGATGTTCGCAAGAGAGATGCTGCAGAAGACTGATTTAAGCTGTAAAAGGTTTATAAAACCATACTTAAGTCAATAAATGCATCAAATTGAACAGACATACTCATCCAAAACCCTTGCATGACAGGAACCTGCTTTCAGACCGGCTTCACAGGCAGCATGACGTCACATCTGGAGGAAATTAAAGCAGCTTTAGAGAGAAACGCATGCATGATTAATGAATAAATACAGAGCTTTTTTTGGTTAGAAACTGATTTATTTTCATCGAAAAAGGGGCATTCATGCTCTATTGTAGCATTATTTATGGCCTACTACTATAGTTTTCAATTAACTTTTATTTTTATATTTTCAGTTATTTTAATTTTAGTTGAACCTTTAGTAGTTTTATGTGCTTTTGACATTTTTTAATAGTTTTTGTTCTTTTTAGATATTACTACTTAGGTTTAATTTATTTTTATAAAAATAAATAAATAAATAATAGATTTTTTTTCCAGTTAGCAGTTTTATTGCTTCAGCTTAAACTTATTTCAGTAATTTGCCAAGGCAACATTTGTAATTTTCTTTTTTTTCTTATAATTTATAATGACCCTGTTAACATGACATGTTTTTATAATTTATAATAACCCTGTTAACATGAACTAAGAACAATATTTCTATAGCATTTTAAGTTTTTTATGCTCTTCAAAGCTGCAACAATTTGATTTAAAAAAATACATTATTAAAATATTTGATAAAAATACAACAAAAAATATTTAATGAAAATATTACTACAGAAAATCAGCATATTAGAATGATTTCTGAAGATCATGTGACACTGAAGACTGGAGTAATGATGCTGAAAATTCAGCTGCGCATCACAGAAATAAATTAAATTTTTACATATATTCAAAAAGAAAACAGTTATTTTAAATTGTAATAATATTTGACAATATTACTGTTATGAAATAAATGCAGCCAAAAATCGTAATTCTTCCAAACTGTTGACACAAATAATTATCTAAAAAGGGCACGCACAGGATTGTGGGATATCACGGGCAGCACACGAAACATCTGTGAAACACTGGATTCTGGACGTGCCTGACGTCTTTCTCTGTATATAAAGGGAACATTTTCCATCTTTTTTGGAGTATTTCACAGTAACTTTATCTTGGGCCCACATGCTGGATGACATTTGACCTTTAATATCCGCTGTTTTCCCGAGCGGCTTCCCGTTCCAGCGGTGTATTAAATCAGATATGCTGCGCTCATAATGAACGCCTCGTCCCAGCGCTGACCCCGTGACCTCTGGGCTTCATATCTAATTGATTTAGATTCAGCCGTCGTGATTGGGCTCTGTGTCGGTTCGGACGCTCCGGGGTGGGATTCGCCGTGACCTCACAGCGCAGGCATGAGATGAAGGTGGAAACGCGTCGGGATGGATGTGCAGATCGCAGCTTTAATCCGTGCAAAAGCACTTCATTAGTGTGGAAGCGTTACGGCCAGATGACATCCAGTGTGGGTTGATTTCCAGAAACACGGACAGGGTGGGATCGTCCTGGATCGCTGGAACAGAAAACAGGACCTGCAATAAGAAATTAAACACTTTCAATTAAGTTATCATTGTTAGAAAACTACATTAGTTTTTCTTATTTATAGTTTTTCTTAATTTTTTTTTTTTGACAATGTTTATTGGGTTTTAACAAGAATAACATACATAATAACGCATATCAAAATAAAATAAAATAATAATAATAATAATATACAAATTTACAAACATACCCACCCACCCCCAGAATAGTGTGATTAGGGTTGCAAAAAGGTGGAAAATGTCCAGTAAATTTCGCAAACATTCCAGAAATTTTGTAAACTTTCCAGGATTTTTTGGAATCTTCCAAGGATTTTTGGAAAGTTTCCAGAAATGTACCGGAAATTTTCCTCCCCTTTGCAACCCTAGTGTGCATACATAACAACAGCATTTAAATGTGAAAAGAAATTACAACATTCTCCAGGGTATGTCTACCTGGCCAAGCACTAAAGTTTCTTTAGTTGAGTCTGGAAAGACGGCAAAAAAAGGAAACCAGATACATCTGAAAGTATCCACACTCCCCGTAAGTGATGCACTGATTCTTTCAAATGGGAGTATACTGTAAATCTCTTGAAAGCACTGGTGAATTGATGGTGGTTTGTCTTTAATCCAATTAAGTAAGACATCTTTGGGCAATAAAAAGCAACTTCTGAGCAAGAGTGCAAGTGTCGAGTTATTGTGTACCAAACCTAGGATGAAGAGCCAAGGGTCTTTACATATAGTATAACCAAATATTCTCTAATCTTCTTTGAACCTGGCTCCAGAATCGTGAGATTAAAGGACAGAACCAAAACATATGGCTATGCGTACCAACACTACTCTTACACAAATTGATGACCTTTGCGGATTCATTTAGTTAAGAATGTATGGGGTACAATGCAAGCGATGGACAATTTTATACTGTGTTTCTCTTGCTTTGTTGCAAATAAATCTACTGCCCATATGTTTTAAGGCCTTCTCCCACTCTTTGAATATATATAAATATATTTGGAAAAGAATTGGGGGCATACACAGAGCCTAATGTGACCATTTCTCCTTAGAGGTGGCCCTAAATAATCACATATCTGCCCTCTTTATCTTTAAACTTTTGATCCACAGCGGCGGTAATGTGTCTCGTTATATCAGTGACAAGTCTCTCAGAGCTAAGCGCCTGTTGAGCTTGATCTTGTATGCCATCTTCCTGTTGCAACACCTCAGCCGGAGCGTCAACCTTGACGTCTTTTTTCATTGTTTTGTCGGATTTTTTTGTACTTCGAAGCATGTTGCCTCTGCTAGACATTATCACGAAATTGTTTCACGCTCCTTTTAGTTGAGTGACATCACGTGACCCCTTTTTCTTAATATTTTGAATCAGCTTTTATTTATTTTTATTTTCAGGTTTCATTTTAATTTTAGTCAATTTTTAGTAGTTTTGTTATGTGCTTTTATGATTTTTGCTAGACTGTGTTCTTTTTTAAACATTACTATTTAGGTTACATTTATTTTAGTTTTAGTTTTTATTTATTTCCTGCTACTTTAATTTAACTTATTTCTGTTAATTGCCATGGCAACATTTATAATTTTTATTTATTTTACATATTATATATATATAAGTTGAAGTTTTACATACAAGTTGTTCCCTTTCATGGGAACTTCGAACTGCGTCCTCTAGGGGTCGCTATGGGGAACGCCTCGTCGTGACCTGTGTCTGAAGCATACATTGAAAAAACACCAACTCGTTGGCCGGCGACAGCCATGACGTCACTACCGGTGCGACTATAGTATAAATAGGCGCCGGGAGCACACATCACTCTCTTCTTCGTCTTCATTGACTGTTCTGTTTGAAGCATGCATTTCCAAGGAAAAAGTAAGAGCTATCTCTATTTATTATGGCGAGCACTAGCAGAGCATTTAGAAGGTGTGTGCATCCGTGTCATCGCTATTTGACACCAGATGACACACACGATCTATGTGTTGTTTGTTTGGGCGAAGAGCACGCACGCGATGTCCTCGAGGGGGCAATCTGCGTGCATTGCGAGCGTTTTCCAATGAAAAAGCTCCGTTCTCGTTTGTCTCTCTTTTCAAGTAAAGAGGGGCAGCCATCTGCTTCCCGCAATTCAGGACCCGCCGCTGCTGAGGCACGGAAGGGAATGAGCTCGTGGGGATCGCAGGTGGATCTGGCTGATGAGTTTGAAGAGGGGTTTTCTCTTTCGCGATCGTCGGCTGTGCACGAGAGTGAGCCGCTGGAGGATGATGTTATTTCATTAACATTGTCTGATTCAGGGGCCATTGCTCTGCTGGGATCAGCCCAGCAAAAGCAGGAAATAGCTGAGGAGGGCAAAGAAGCTGAGGCTGAGCCTTCCCAATCCTCCTGCCCTGCGTATGATGAGCTCTTAGAGGTTATGGATCGCGAGGTTATGGAAGCGAACTAAGGAAGTGACGTCGCGAGGTCGTCTCGAGGAACGTTATCTTTCTGGCCATAACCCTCCAGCTCAGGTGAGCCTTCCTTTCTTCCTGTTTTTCATATAAAGATTGAGAAGGAATGGAAGAGGCCATTTTCCTCACGCATCCATCGGTTTCAGCATACCAGTTATGCGAACATCGAGGCGATGCGCGAAAACGGCTATGAGAGAATGCCCCCTGTAGAAGAGACGCTAGCTAGCTATCTCTCTATGGGTGAGACATCATCTCTCAAAACTCCCTCCTTGCCATCCGTGCCTCTTCAAGCTACATCTAAATTGAATGGCAAGGCATACGCAGCAGCAGGTCAGGCTGTTGCTTCGCTGCACACGATGGCGGTGCTCCAGGCATACCAGGCTGACCTGCTGAAAGACCTGGATAAAGGCGAGGGCCTTTCTTCTGATGAGATGGCTGAGTTGCGCCGCACCACGGATCTTGCTCTCCATGCTACTAAGCAGGCTGCCTCTGCCATGGGCAGATCTATGGCGGCAATGGTAGTGACGGAGAGGCATCTGTGGGTAAACCTGGCAGACATCGGGAAGAAAGAAAGGGGTTTTCTTCTCGATGCCCCGGTTTCGCCCTCTGAACTTTTTGGTACATCCGTTGAGACGGTCGTCGAAAAGTTCAGGGAGGCGAAGGCGCGCTCAGCGGCCTTCAAAACCTTCATTCCACGAAGGTCCAGGTCTGAGCCCGAACAACCCAGGGGTCCTGGCCCGTCTCGGTTTGAGGATCAGAGACGAGCACAGAAGGCTAGTGTCGCGACTCGCGCTCCTCCTCCGCCTGCGGGTAGGGGTAGGAAGTATCGTGGGTCAAAGGGAGGTAGGCAAGACCTGAGGGATGTGATCCAGACAAGGCGTCAGCGCTTTCGTCCGGATCAGAGTAATACTTAGGTATCCACTCTTCCCCTCAGGGGGTGTAACATCTACACTTTTCTTCCCCTTCCTAATTCCCCTGTAACCACCATATCTCCACCTGACCGAGGTTAGGTGGAAGCTTCCTGCATAACAGTCTCCTTCTGGACCTATGATGTTTTGGTTGGTTCTATGGCTTCATAGTAACCACCTTACTGATGGTCCGGTCTAAAGGCTTCTCCGGACAGAGCTCCGACGCGGGAACCATGGTGGGTGAGTACAATCCATGTCTAAAATATATGTATATATAAATATATAAATAATGAACTGGTGGTTGTGTGTATAACCCTTCTGCTAGTTTCTTTGCAGTGTTTCCCGGGACCCGTGTGTTTCTGTCCCTTTCTAGGGTAGGTCCTCGGTGGGCACCCCCGCTGCTGGGTTCAGAAACCGGGTGCTCGACTTGCAGTGTTTTCACTCGTCGTTATATGTCCAGAAGGTAAGTAAGCCGGGTTTCGGCTTCATACTTCATGGATCATGCGGCCATAACACAGGCTTCTGCGGGAGTTTTTGTGATTATCAGGCCCCCGGCGCGTCACTGCAAAAATTTCCTGGACGTCCGGGCTGGGGTTACGCTTTCATGCTACCCTGACTGGTCTACCGTATCTGGGTCGCCCTGAGGGGTTTCCCGATCACCAGGATATCCTCTTGAAGCATCGCCCCCCTCACCATTGAGGGTTACTGTGAGTATGATGTTTCTTTCAAGCGTTAATCCTCTTTAACTTAACGTTCATCTGCTTCTCCCATTTGCTCTTGTTACATTGACTATCACGCTATACAGACTAACACAGTCAGATACAACAATCATTTCTCAAATATGTATTACAATATATATTGATAAATTGAACATTCACTTCAATGGTATGCTTTTAACTGATTTCCTATAGAACTGCAGCTCAAACTATTTCAAATATAGTGAACTAAGCTACAAACTCCATCATAAAGCACAGTGTTTCCATCTAACATGTATTTTGAGCTGCAGCTCTTCATATTAATGGTGATTCACTAGTTAGCAGTAAACCGGTTACCTCACCTGAATATGTTCCTAGATTTGTGTTGAATGTTATCTTTGGTATGGACATTTTATTTGTAAACATCATACTTTTTTTTCCGCTTATTTCAGTTAATGTCAGAAACTAGCGAGCTAAGCCAGTAGTAGTTCTGAGAGTGTCGTGTAAACATGACTGAATTCGAGACAAATTGTGTCAATTGAGTGAGTCATTTACGCTGGAACCGCTCCGATTGATTCAAACTCGTGACTTCGATCATTCAGTTCAAGCGATTCACTAGCAAAAACCAGATCAAAAGAGCCACTCATTTTTGAAATTCGACATCGCTTGAAAGGATTTTAAAAAGCCCGTATAGTGATGGGTGAAACGGCTTTTCGAAACTCAGAATCAGTTATTTCATGATTCACTGTTTCGAAACGCTCCAATCTAAACGTAGGCCTATATCTCGAATCATTTGATTCGGAACGGGTTTGCGAATCATTCGGAAGGGCTCATAAAGTGTGAAGTGAAAAGTGACGTGACATGTGGCCAAGTATGGTTAACCATACTTGGAATTAGTGCTCTGCATTTAACCCATCCTAAGTGCACACACACAGCAGTGAACACACACACACCGTGAACACACACCCGGAGCAGTGGGCAGCCATTTATGCTGCGGCGCCCGGGGAGCATTTGGGGGTTCGGTGCCTTGCTCATGGGCACCTCAGTCGTGGTATTGAAGGTGGGAGAGAGCACTGTACATTCACTCCCCCCACCTACAATCCCTGCAACCTTTGGGTTACGAGTCCGACTCTCTAACCATTAGGCCACAACTTCCCCTTAGGGGAATATATGCCCAATATATGCCCTAATCCCTTCGAAGCTCTCACTCCAGAGGGTAAACCCTTTGAAGGGATTAGGGCATAGGGATCATGTGCAAAGGATCATGGGGGCCCGAAGTGTCCATCAGTTGTACCTTTCGAAATCCTTCATACGAAGGGCCCTTTGAAGTGGCCAGTTTTGAACACTTCGGTTTGGAACGACCCTTCAATATGGCAACCATGATTGTTTTCACTCCGAAGTACCCTTCAGAGCCGTTTGGAACTCAAATCATTGGGTCTTCTGAGCGCATATCACACATATTTATTTATTTTTTTCCCTTTTTTATTAAGCCGTACAAAACATTAAACCATTAAGGCATTAAAGTTACAAAACAAAGAAAAAAGAAAGAACACAAAACCTTTAGAGAATTAACCATGGTTTAACTATAGTAAAAGTGTAACTATGTATTTTTATTATTTTTTTTTTTTTTTTGTATAACCACCGTTTTACTTCAAATACTATGGTTAAACTGTCGTTAGTGTAGCAAAACCATGGTTAATTTGTGGTTACCACAAATTAATTTTTTCACCTTAAGAGCACACATATGAATATAGAGATGTCGTTTTCACTGCTTTAGGATTAACAGAACTTTGAATAGTTTCCATGTAATAATAATAATAATAATAGTTTCCATGTACTCGTCTAGATCAACTTTGAATAAAGAAAAGAAAGATTTAGAGCCAGATTTTTGTTTATGTTTGTGAAATTTATCTAACAGGAAACACAAATTAAAGTTATATTTTCTTATATTCTCTTCTGAGTAGTTAAACAATCCAAAGAAAACATCTTTAAAGCAGAAAGAAAAGTCACTTAGAAGATGAGATCGGATGAACATGAAAAAAATCTGACCAGAATTTCTCTGTGGTTCATTGCCAAACAAGTGAATGAATCTTTCTCAGAAGAGACCAAAACAGCAGCTCACTTCAATGTCTGACTAATATTATAATCACGTCCATAAGCTTTTTGTGAAATTTGGAGTAACTCATTAATCTGTTGTTTGATCTCTTCATATTTAAGGAGAGAACTATAGTTTCCAAACTTGTTATGATTGTCAAGGGTGTAGAATTTAAAATAAAATAAATTAAATTGGAAAAAAATATGTCGACATATACGTATATATATATTTTTATTTTATTTATTTTTTTTTAAACCAAAAAACAAGTAAAAATAAAAAAAAATACTAAAACTTTAACTAAAATTAACAAAAAATTTTTTTTTTAAATATTAATAATTACTGTAAAACTATATTTATGATTCATTC